TATTAAATATATGAAAGTACATTGTATAAAAATTGAAAAAGAGAAGCCCTGTGGATGTCAAAACTGATGTAAAGGTGTTCCAGAATAGGTAAAAGAGAGGGTCAAGAACAATGATATTGCAAATATGAAGCACATTAGAAGAAAATTGTAGAATAATAGTCATAATAGTGTCAATTATGTAAAGAAAAGAGTAGGGTTGTTAACATAATGAATAAAATAAATATTGATAGAAAAAGACCTGAAAAATATATACCTGATGATGTTCAAATGGTGAATAACAAAACTGTTAAAAGTGATATGGATATTAGATATATTAAAGATAAATTTGTAGTAAATGATGGTATTGATGTAGAGATAGAAAAAGGCAGAATTGTTAATGTGATGGACTTTAATGAATCAGATTAAATAAATAAAATAAAGGGTAAAAGCATACCTACTGTGCCTTTTGGAAATGATAAAAACACACCTACAAGAAGTCACAGTGCATATGATAATAAAAAAGAGCCAACAGTAATAAAACCTGTAAACAAAAATATGAACAATGGTGTAGAACTAAATAATAATAGTGATGAAATGCGTAATCTTGGATATCACTATAGAAATAGAATTGTAGTTGAAAGCGATGAATGTAAAGCATCTATTAATTATCAAAAATCAGCAGAATTGAGTGATGCTGATAGAATGTTTAGTGAAGGTTGTCACTATTATAATGAAATTGGTATTGAAAAAGATGAAAACAAAGCCTTTGAATATTATCAGTAATCTGCTAATACGAATAATGCTGATGAAGCATATATCGTTGGACATCGTTATCAAAATGAGATTGGTGTTGAAAAAAATAAACATGAGATATTTATGAATTATCAAAAACCCGCTGATATTGATGATACTGATGAAATATTTGTCTCTGGACATTATAATCAAGATGGAGTGATAGTAATGATACAAGCACCATTGAACATAGTTGTGAAAATAGATACGATGATGAAAGGATTGATAGAGATGTTGATGGAAGCTGGGTTTGACAGCAATAGTGTGAACCATAAAAATGGTATAATAAGTATATACAAAATGGATAGTTATGAAGAGTTATCAGTTAGCCAAAGTAAGGGTGATAATGCTATCCAAATAAAGTACAAAGAAATTAGCCACCTACTTGCGTTGAATGACAAAACATTTTCAACGATCAAACCCAAGGTAATGCCTTGTGATAATGTTGCTGGAAAGGATAGGGACGTAAATTCCAAAATGATGGTTTCCAATGTTGAGTATGATGGAATGTATGGTATTGGACAGTGTTATTAATAAGGAATAAAGGTTTTGATTTGGACGCTAAAAAATATGATAATGTTGAACAATTGCAGAAAAACTCTGTAAGCTCATGCGATACTAACCATTGTTAGCTCTGGTGTGAAAATAATAAGCACTATATTGTTTTGTGAAGATTAGTAATAGTGTATGTAGGGTTATATATAGGTTTAGTATTAGAATGCATGTTAGTGCTGCGTTGAAATATAGATAATATTAGCTTAGTATATGTATAATTATTTTGCAAATGGGATAATTTGAGTAAGTAAATTGGTTTTGCATAGGATGTAACTTCAGAGACAAAGTTCTGGGAGTTTAGCTCATGACATGGGTTAATCAGTACTCTTGGAATTTGTGGTTCCAGAATAGAATCGAGTTTGTGTAATATGATCTGTTGCATGAATTGCGTGATCATTAGATAGAATTAATTTAGTAATAGTTTAATGTATATAACCAGATAATTATTTATCCAGTAATATTCTTGTATTATAAATGGCTCGATCTAATAAAGCAAAAAAAGCAGTGAAGTTTAGTATAAATAAAAAACCGTTTTAAGTGAACAATTGTCATTGACGTTGCTAAACAAAGATGGCAGAACTAGGAATGATCCTTCAGTCCAGAGTAAAGCCAAGTGAACGCTATTAGTTAGTGTGAATTGAGTTAAAACCCCTAAAAGTAAAGGAACGACTTGACACTTTCTATTCCAAAATCAAGAAAATAACTCTTTTCACTAATATTTTGTGAATTCAATAATGTATCTTTACAAACAGAAGCAATTACACATACTATTATAAAAATATGCCACAG